TACTCTGTTCACAAACACTGTCAGAGAAGGAAGTTAGGCAGGGCTGTGCAAACATGGGTGTTTGCTGTCCTTCTTCCCCTTCCTTGTCACCTCTGGGACCACTTGACTATTTGTTCCATGTTTTTCTTGGACTTTGAAGTTGAGCTAAGTGGCCTCTAACTCTTCAGTTCCTTTTTTTTTCTCCTGCCAAAGACAGACACTGTGTCACTCATTTTTCCTGTTCCTTGAAACCTCATCCATCCTCTACCAGTTCTCAATGTTACCCTCACTTATCTTCACTCCAGCCAATCTGATCACATTTTCCCTTACCTAGCATGAACATACACCTCTGTAATTCATGTCAGTGGTGTTAATCCTGCAGTCGCAGGTGAGGGCAGAAGGGAAGAAGCCACTGAACGCTTGGGTTCCTGGCACCTTCTGCTGTCCCTCCCAGTCTCAGCAGGGTGGGCTACACACAGGCTGCTCAGCATCCTCTGACTGACACCTTCCTTTCTGAAAGTTTTCTTGCAATACTGCATGTTTCTTGCTACTTATAATTCATCTCATACTTTGGCTTCCCTGATTTTTTGTTATTTTTTTTCTGTTTCTCTGATTTTTTCACCTAGTTTTTACTTTTATACCCTTCCTTCTGAAGTTTCAGGTCATTATCTGAACTATGAGCCCCTTCCTTCCCACTGGGATGGCTTCTGTTGTGCTCTATTGCTTCACTAGAGCCGTGCCAGGTTTTCTGAATGCATTTTGTTGGAGCTGATCTCCCCCTCCCCGAATGCCTTATATTTTCTCCAAAAGGCACTTTGAAGTTGCTCTCCACTTCAACACCCCCGAGCACTTCCTCTCTTTTTGTCAAGAGTCGGGTCAGGGAAAGCCTCCCTTGGGCTTTCCTGCATTTCCCAGCCTGAAGTCATCGCAGCCCCAGTCTGTGGGGCAGCAGTGCCCTGGTGCAGGCAGTCCTAAAGGATGCCTAGCCGTGGGGGATACACAGGAGGCTCCTTCAGGGAGGGGGCCAGGACAGTCTGGACCCTGCCTTTCAGTGGTCAGAGCTGGTCCATAGCAAGGGTATGCCCAGCAACCTCTTCCTCTTCTGTTTGCTCTCTCTCGACAAGCCACACCTGGTAATTCACAGGCCAGTCCTCAGGGTGTTAGGCCAGTCAGATCATCACTTCAGACCTCCCGCTGCAGCCGTTCGTCCCCTGTGGCACTCACGTAACTGTGCCAGTGCGTGGGGCAAGGACTGTGCTGTCCTGGGGGTGATGGCCCCAGACACCCACCTCCCAGGGCGCCTTGTGGTTTCTGGTCACGGGCTGTGGCTCCCAGATTGACCTCGCTCAGCAGCTGCCATCAGAGGTGTGATAGCTGCAGGGCGGGAAGGCCCCCAGGCCTGGGGAAGGGGTGGCAGGGGTCGGGCCAAGGCTCCATCTCCTCCCCGGCCTCAGGACAGTGTGGGACACATCCTCTGCCAGG